CAGTAAACATAAAAGGCAGAGTGAGATGTACAAACACGTTCTCTGATTTCTCAGTATGTTTCTTAAACCCGGTTTCAAGTAAAAGCGGTTTGCAGTGAAAAACTGAGTTCGTGCTAATACGTCCCCATATATATGAAAGCAGCGAAGTTTACCTTGGACTGAAAATCTGGGTTTCCAACAACCTAGGTGAAAGGCGGCTTCCACACTCCTACATTCCTGAAAATTGAGCATGTGGAGAGGCGTTCTTTCACCCAGCACAAAAGGCAGAGGGACTTCTAGACACACATTCTCTGATTTCTGAGCATGTTTCTTACGCCGGTTTCAATGTAAAAGCGGTTTGATCTGGAAAACGAAGTTGGAACTAGTGCCCCCCCTTACATATGTAAGTAGCGTAGTTCCCCTATACAAGAAACTTTGGGGTTCCAAGAAGTTAGGTGAAGGACGTCTCCAAAACAAATTCAGATGTCAGAAGTAAGCCTGTGGAGAGGCGTTTTTTATACAGCATTGAAGGTTAAGTGATATACAGAAATAAATTCTTTGAGTTGTCAGCATGTTTCTCAAAGCCGATTTGGCAGTGTAAAACCGAGTCCGTGCTAGTAAGTCCCTATATATATGAAAGGAGCATAGTTTCCATTTACTAAAACTCTGGATTTCCAACAAGGTAGGTGAAGGATGGCTTCAACACTCATTCAGTTCTGAATATTGAGATTGTGGAGAGACATTGTTTGTCTAGCATAAAGGGAATGATTTGCAATAGAAACACTTACACTGCATTCTCAGTATGATTCTTAGTGCTGGTTTGAAGTTCATGCAGTTTTCATTGTCAATCAGAGTTGGAACTAGTACCTTCACATTTATACAAATGTAGTGAATTTAACCACTCATAAGAAACTGTGCGTTCCCATCAAGCTAGCTGATTGAAGACTTTCACACACAGTTTACTCTCAGAATTGTGCAAATGGAGAGACGTTCGTTCATCAAGCATAAATGGAATGGTTTCTACTAGAAAGACTTCTACTGGATTTTCAGTATGTTTTCCTTGTGCCAGATTGAAGTTCATGAAGTTATCACTGTAACACTGAATTGGAGATATTACCTCCCATTATATATGAATGTAGTGTAGTTACCCACTGAAAACAAACATGGTCCCAACAAGTAAGGTAGTTGATGGCTTGCACAAACATTTATCTTTCAGAATAGAGCATGTGATGAGACGTTAGTACATCTAGCAAAAACGAAATGGATTGTAGTAGAAAAAAAACTCTGGTTTCTCAGTGTCTATTCCTAGAGCCGGTTAGAATGTCAGGAAGTTTTCTCTGTAAAGTCGAGTTGGAGCTAGGAATTCCCCATATATATGTCTGTAGTGTAGATACCTACAGAAAGAAAATGTGGTCCCAACAAGCTAGATGAGGAAGGCTTTAACAGATACTTAACTCTCAGAAAAGAGCATGTGGAGA